AATGGTGATTTATGTATGTAGTTTGGTTGTGTTCGTCAAGGTAACATGCAAAAGTCATTAATTCGTTCTTGTGCTAAAATAGTACTGTTTAAATGCTACAAATAGCTAGATGCACTACAATTATGATCACAATTGTTTTCTTTAAAAAATATATAAATAACTATGGTTGGAATTGTAAAAAATTGTGCTAATAGTTAATCGCATCGCTTAACTATAAGCTACATGATTAATAATTGTTTAGCCATTTATTAATCGTTTAACTATCTATTATTTAATCATTTAGTTTATTAGTTAATCGTTTATCAGTTGGATTGTTATCTGTTTAACTGCTTATTATCATTGAAACGTTCATTAATCATTTTACCATTATACGTTGCATTACATATTACCGGTAATTACCCAGTGCTTTTAAAACAACTTGTTCCTAATGAAACTTTGAGTTGACACCACAAAGCAACGAGCTTTACAAGTTATTAGGATTATATAAGTTTGTGCGGCCTGTTAAGTCCAGCCAAAGAAAAAAAACAAAGAATTCCAAGGTATAATTCAAAACACAAATCTTATAACAATAGGCAAAGAGCTCTACTTTATTAATAAATTAAACATAAGTTTATGCAACAAATACAAGTGTTTCGAGCGAATTGTCGAATTATAAGCAGAAACTCAATGCTTTTATAGTTTTGGAGAGTCTCTAGCTCTCATTTAGCATCTCGGATTATTAATTTGTTGAAAGTTGTTAATTTTATATAATTTCCCAAAAAGGGGGTCCGCTAAAGCGGAGTAAATTCAATATAAGGAACTACATACAGCATAATTGTGTTTTTGATATCTTTATAAAACATCTACCCTAAATGTATCAAAAAAGTAACTTTTTTAATTGCCCGCTTTAGCGATCCCCCAAAAAGGGGGTCGTCTAAAGCCATGTACCCACGTGACTTTTTTGTGTAAATCAACCAACCGGAATTGCGAAATTTTGTTTACACGGATCAGTCCGAAGAAGTCAAAAAATAAAGAAAACACAAAAAGACGAAAAACAACAGTCTTAACCTATCTTGGGGCACTAATTAAAAATGTCGGGAAGGCAATTTTACTTATACTCCTCTTCTTATATTAACACCCAACTAACCCTAATTCTAACCTTAATTTTAATTTAAACGATTAAAACGTTAAAATCACGTGGGTACATGGCTTTAGCCATCCCCCCCAAAAAGGAAAATACATAAGAGAAATTAACAAATTACCGTAATATTTTACTACCTTATCTTACTTCTTGCGCTCCAGTGATCAGAATAGAATGAAATTTGTACCATTCGATTCGTCTTGATAAGATGAATCGAATGGTGCTAAAATTATTCGATTTGGATCACTGTATCACGAGAAATTGCAAAAAACCATGAGTGCGCCACAATACCCCCGCGCAGAATACCCGACCCTCCCTTAAGTTACACGGGCAACTGATTCACAATAGTCAGCCATACGTAAAAATTGTTTTTTACAAATGCATATAAAATTTTACAAATGCATATAAAATTTTACAAATGCATATAAAAATTTTACAATTTACAACAAATGCTTATTAATGTGTGTGATGTTTAGTACTCGTGGTCTTGATTTTTATGTAACACATTCAATTTATTTTTTTTTAATATATAAAGAGCTTATTTCGATTTTGCTAATTTCCATATATTTCGCAGTCTCAATAGTCGCTAAGATAACCAATAAATTTTAGGAATCCTGTCACAGAAATGACATCATATGACTCGTTCATGATATATAGGATGGTTATTCATAATTACCTCAAAGCCAATAATGTCAGTTATTCTAACCGCAAAATTTCCCAGTTGGCAGACAAACTGTGGAGGAATGAATCTGAAGAGATTAAAAATGAGTATAAACAATTAGCTAAAACAATGAAATGTTGTGAGCAAAGTTTTAAGACCGAAACCATTGATAATGTTGAAAACTCTATCTCGCTTGGGACCACAAGTGATTATCCTTCGACCAACACTGAACCTAACCTATATGGTCAGTTTCTAGCAAACACGTTAAATATTAATTTGCCACCCATCACCGATGATACATCTACCATTTCGGTACAAACATCGAATCTCCAAAATAGTCTTATAATTATTTTTACATTGATTCCTTAACGTCAAATCTTTTTTTTACAAGAACATATATAAATCATATTTTCAGTAGAATCAAAACATACTGATGATCAAATCTCGAAATGGAAGTTTTATATAATATCATTTACATATATGTTAGACAACTTTTATTTATTTATACGTATTATTTATTTTTTTTATACTATTTGTTAATTATGCCATTTACGTTAACCTTTCTTACGTTATTAATAAAGCAACAATATATTTTGATAAAAAAACAAACATTAAATTCTCAGAATATAAAGAATGCTTAGCACAAGAACGAATTAATGACTTTTGCATGTTACCTTGACGAACACAACCAAACTACATACATAAATCACCATT